ATGATCATCTACATGCTTTTTACTCTTGCATGCAGGCTCAGAATGCCTCTGACGCGTTGATGTGCAAAATCTTTCCCTCTACTCTCCGAGGTAATGCTCGAACCTGGTACTACAGTCTGCCTCCGAGATCAGTCAGCTCGTACACAGAACTGGCATCTGCTTTTGCCACAAAGTTTTCCAGTAGAAGGTTGATCAGGAAAACCACTTCTGAGCTGATGCGGGTTAGGCAGAGGGACAGAGAGTCTTTGAAGAATTTTATGAGCAGATTCAATGATGCAGTGCTAGAGGTTAACTCTTTCGACCAAGCAGTGGGCATTACAGCTGTGATCTCGGGTCTCGGCCATGAAAGATTTAGAGACAGTCTGCTTAAACATCCCGCCACCACCTTCAGTGAGGTAAACGATAGATCGTTGAAATTCATAACGGCTGAGGAATACGCCATGTCGCAACACCTAACTCCTATTAAGAGCCAACACCCGGACTTGAGAGATGAGAATCCGAACAGGAAACGGATGAAGACAACACAGAACCGAGGTCCGATGTCGACTTCCACCCCGAGATTCGGAAGGCCGAACTCAGCACCTCCGCAACAACCTACAGGTAAACCTCCAGTTAATTGGACTCCTTTTAATTTGCCGAGGTCATAAATTTTTATGCAGATTAAGAATAAAATGGACTTACGACGTCCGAGTCCAATGAAAACTGCTGCTGCTACCAGAGACCATACTAAATACTGTGATTTTCATCAGGATCACGGTCATACAACAGAGCAATGTAATAGTCTGAGGTCCGAACTGGAAAGTCTGGCACAGAAAGGAATGTTGAATGAGTATATCCAGAGAGTGGAACAGCCAAGGTTTGTCAGAGAACAAGGGCCACAGCATCAAGCAATCCGTAATCCCCCAAATAGACAAGGTGTGGGATATCAGCAAGCCCCACCCCCACTCCCACCACCAGCTAGAGTCATACACATGATTACGGGAGGTCTGGAAGCTGGTGGACTGAGCTCTAAGCAGCGGAAGCTGTATGTCAGAGAGGTTAGGCATCAGAACCGAGCTCAGAAACGAAAATTTGACGATGCTGAGTGGAAGAATCAACCCATCACTTTCACATCTGCTGATCTTGAAACAGTTGTCACACCTCACAATGATCCTCTAGTCACTTCTGTCACAGTCAACAATTGTGAGGTGCAGCGTGTCCTTGTTGACACCGGGAGTGCACCAAACATCATGTACTTCCATTATTTTGAGAGTCTTGGGATAGATCCAGCTCTGTTGCAGCGGTATGATGGTCCCATCTACGGGTTCAACAACCAACCAGTTCCAGTTGAAGGAGTCCTCACCATGAATGTTGCCTTTGGAAGTGGCCGCAGTTATGTGACCCCTTCAGTAAGGTTTTTAGTGGTCAAAATGGCGTCATCTTTCAACGCTTTCATTGGTCGACCTACACTGACTGAGATCCGAGCCGTGGTTTCCCAGTCTCATCTATGCGTGAAGTTCCCAACTCCTACGGGAATAGCAACACTGCGAGGCAACCAGGAGGTAGCCCGGCATTGTTATATCACCTCGATAACACAACCTCAGAAGAGCAAGGCTCAGACACCCGAGATTAATCCCAAACAGATACTTGATGATCGGCAAGTTATGGGTGTTGAAATAGTAGATAACCGACCAGAAGATGAAACCAGAGCTGCTCCAGTCGAAGATGTGGAGGAGGTACAGATTGATGATAGAGATCCGAGCAGGAAAACGCAAATTAGGACTAAATTGCACCCGGAAGAAAGAGCAGAGCTAATAGCTTTTCTTCGGGCCAATAACGATGTTTTTGCATGGACTTCAGCAGATATGCCGGGAATCCCCACTTCAGTTTTTCAACATAAACTCAACACCAATCCCCTCAAGAAACCAGTAGGCCAGAAGCGACGTCTCTTCGGGGGGGAGAGGTTAAAGGTTATTAAAGAGGAAGTCGAGAAGCTCCTACAAGCCGGCTTTGTTAGGAGGGTAGATTACTGTGAGTGGGTCGCCAAACCGGTGTTGGTGAAGAAAGCAAACGGTAAATGGCGGATGTGCATCGATTACACTAACCTCAACAATGCATGTCCAAAGGATTGTTATCTAATGCCAAACATTGATAAGCTGGTTGAGGCAGCTTCGGGGAATGAGAGATTAAGTCTCTTGGATGCATAC